CCCCCCCCCCCCCCCCCCTAAAATTTCTGGCACCACCCCAGTAATAAATATGAAGATCCGTCTATCGTATTCAGCGTGTGCCTAGAGTATGCTTATCGTATAAAGCATACGTCCAAATACGCACAAAGTTTTTGAGCATGCTTAAAAAAAATGTTCTGCCTCGCCGTATGCCAGCGTACGCGACCGTGCTTGAAACGTATACAACCTATGCCTAACGTACCCCAAGCGTATGTCAGCGTATACCGGCGTATGAGTGATATTTTTCATACGCTGGCATATACGCTATTACTATACGCAATAGCGTGACAGGGCCTTAACACAGGTCGGGCGACTGCCGACTCTCATGCAGGATTATTGTGGGCGTCTCACTCTATTTAACTAGATGTTGAAGGGTTTTCTGGATCGAAACTTCGAATGCAAATTTTTATACATTTATTAAGACCTACAGTAACAGGAGTAGTTGTGAAAAATGCAACTATAGGCACTCTGGCAGGAATCGACCCTGGCCTTGCGATTCCGGTTGTAGCGCTCTAAACAACTGAGCCTCAGATGAACTATCATCCTCTTTGATCCAGGTCTTAATTTTAATGTTTGTTAGTAACTTTTCATGCGTTGTTATTATAATCATCCATCTCTGTTTCAATTACCGTTATAATGCAATGTTTTTAAAAACAAACTTGTACAGTACAGGGGGCAAATAGTTTAATAAAGGCCTTTCTCAGCAAAAGAAACACGTGGGCACAAATTAAATGTACCTCAAATGTGGTTGGAATATCCCCTGGAGCTTAGTAGAAGATTAATGGTAATCTGATTAGTGTACAGTAATTTAAAGCTTTTCTTCTCTTCATTGTAGCATTATGAAACACTGGCCAATAGAGCGGCAGAGAATGGTCACGTGATCGATATATTTTCATGCGCGTTGGATCAAACAGGTCTTTACGAGATGAAGTATTGTCCAAATCTTACAGGGTGAGCAATGAAAGTTTTCAATATAAATTAAGCCCTCTAGTTAAGGGCTGGGATGAATGGTGTCACGAAAATGTTTTCCTGATCTTAAAAGATAGTTCGAATCAAGTTTATACTGTTAGTGGAAGCAAACTAAGCTAATTAAGCTTTGAAATGTCATTTTGGATGTTTATCAAAGCCGTAATAAGAGCTTTATTAAACGCATCATCCCGTTTTTATTAGTCAGCCCGGCTCGATATGAACAGTCCCTTATTTAAAACATTACGCAAGTTATTTGAGTTCAGTGCATGACTTGAAATAGCGATCTCAAACTCATTAATAATTCATGAGTAAATTAGCCAACCATATTGCTTTATTTTGCTCACATGATAATTAACAATTATACCATTCGCTCTCGTCGTATATGAGCTTTATTAAACGCATCATCCCGTTTTTATTAGTCAGCCCGGCTCGATATGAACAGTCCCTTATTTAAAACATTACGCAAGTTATTTGAGTTCAGTGCATGACTTGAAATAGCGATCTCAAACTCATTAATAATTCATGAGTAAATTAGCCAACCATATTGCTTTATTTTGCTCACATGATAATTAACAATTATACCATTCGCTCTCGTCGTATATGAGCTTTATTAAACGCATCATCCCGTTTTTATTAGTCAGCCCGGCTCGATATGAACAGTCCCTTATTTAAAACATTACGCAAGTTATTTGAGTTCAGTGCATGACTTGAAATAGCGATCTCAAACTCATTAATAATTCATGAGTAAATTAGCCAACCATATTGCTTTATTTTGCTCACATGATAATTAACAATTATACCATTCGCTCTCGTCGTATATGAGCTTTATTAAACGCATCATCCCGTTTTTATTAGTCAGCCCGGCTCGATATGAACAGTCCCTTATTTAAAACATTACGCAAGTTATTTGAGTTCAGTGCATGACTTGAAATAGCGATCTCAAACTCATTAATAATTCATGAGTAAATTAGCCAACCATATTGCTTTATTTTGCTCACATGATAATTAACAATTATACCATTCGCTCTCGTCGTATATGAGCTGATAGCCGACGAGGTGCGTAGCACCGAGTCGGCTATCAGCCATATACGACGAGAGCGAATGGTATAATTGTTTTATAATATAGTCTAATATAGCCATTAACTGAAGCAGTAATTAATTATTCACTGTTACAATGTGTTGACAATTTTTTCGGCCAAAAACCGCTTGAAAATTTGAAATACTTTTGTTTTACAACTCGAAGACGAAGTTGAAAGAAATGGTTTTAGAACCTCTATATCTCACAGGAAGGCTCAGATATATTATACAGATGTTTGGTACTATAGTAAGTGCTTGTTGACTGCAAATTCATTTGTCGTTCATTGCAAACTTTTCTGAACAATTTATATTATCAACGAACATGTTTTTTCGCTGTTGTTTCGGTATTAATTCTTTAAAAAACTTGAATTTAAACTAATTTCTACGTAATAAATGTATTTTGCTAACCTGTCAAATTTTTTTTGAGAGTTTTTCCTTGTACTATTATGTTTCTCAAAGCGAATATTTTCCTTTTTCTGCTTCGCAAAACTCATGTAGTCTTTGGACCGCCATCTTGTTTTTCGCTACTCGCCGTATATGAGCTGATATACGGCGAGTAATTCAACCAATCAGATTGCAGAACAGCTCATATACGGTGGATGACTATATTATAATACTGGATACGTGGTGAAGTATGTTGATTCGGTTCTTGGACCGGATCAAAATTAATTCAGTTCTTGGACTGGATCAAAATTAATTCACCTCACTTTCAGTAGTAATTTATTCGTATGTCATTTCAAATCCTCCTTGACCAAATTGCGCGGACTTGAAATCTATAGTCCAGTCTTCAGAGTCGGATTTGAAATATTATACTTCCCAAAGTTCCCGATCATGGTGACTTTCCCTGCTTTTTCTCATTGAAAACCCTGTTTTTCCGCCGATCATAAACGATTTCTTGCCGATCATTGATCTTTGCTCGGCTGTTATTTCAAGCGCTGACAGTGGGACATCGTTTCTTGCAGTGGTCACATGGTGATGGGAGATTCCTTCAACACAGCTCTATTTAAACAGACGTTCCAGAGAATGTTTTCAAAAGATGTACGCGGTGAATATAAAATGGCGTTTGGGGGAACTCTAGAAGTGAAGGTAACGTTTATGATAGTTGACAGTTATGTTTTATTTCGTAATACTGTCGAATTATGGTTTCAATATTATTAGAGACCTACAGTTGTGTCATTCTGGTACATCTTTTTTCAGCCACGTATACAGTATACAGTATGTAGCTTACTTTTTACTGGTACCATATGACATTCTCCAAGTTCAAAGTATTCAAAACCGTAATTCAATCGGTATATATGAGACCCTGACATGTTTTGGCATGAAACATGATTGGACTGATGAGTCGATAAGGAATGCTGGAATCAACTCTAATGCTTGTATTTATTTGCAATTGTGCTCCTTGTCCTATAACTCGTAGTTTCAGGTTACTGCATGAATAAATACCTTTCTGAAACCTGTATTTTATGTACTTCATTTCGAAGACTAAGCTATAGTAAACTGTATGTCTTGAGTCTTAAGTTAGTGTAGGCTCGTGGTGCTATCACTATCTGCGCGCTTGATTAAATGGTTTTCTATAACTCGTGGTTTCAGGTTACTAAATAAATACCTTTTTAGAAAACTGGGTTTTCCGGGCTGCAAAGTCATTGTAACGGCTATCGCCCACAGCACCCCCCCCCCCCCCAGAAATTATTGGGTGGGGGCAAGTCTGTAGTATTCGCCAGCTAGTGCTGAATATCAAGACGTTTTACAGCACCTGGTAGAAAATTCCGCAACATATATATAACCGAAATTGTTCTACCATTCTGTTTTTAGACATCTAAAGAACTCAATGTCTCTGGGTGTATTGGACCGTGTATATCTGTGGATAGGAAAGGACCAAATGTTTCAGAAACAGTGCGTATACTTAACTGTTCGCATTTAATTTTGACATATACCAGTAGAAACCCGCGTACAAGAACGTGTAGTTTAAAAAACCTGTAGATTAAGAACCTGGTAGGACTTCTTATAATAAGAACCTATCTTTTGGCTATATAGTTTTTGAGTTAACAATGATTGTTGTTTTGCATACAGGAAGTTTTAAATTATACACCATCGAAATGATAGTTGGCCCCCCTAGATTTGCACCCACGGGAATCTGGATTGATTTTATGTTATGATGGACTTTTTCGTAAACAAGCTGCGATGTTTGACAGGGAAAGAACATGTTGATTAGTGTGAACGGTAAATCCAGAGGTCTAAGAAGCACAGCCACTGTGACTGCCCAAGCATGTTTTAGAACTGCAAATTTAGGTATAACGAAAAATAATTTTGCAGAAATCTTACACCTAGTAAATATTTTATTATAGTCTATACAGTAAATAGCCAAACAAGCAACTCGAGTGAATAATCGCGTAAACATAGTCAAAAATTTTATTTTTAAACATTGCAGTTTGTTTATACGAACTCCGTTGAAGTTCAAGAGTGGTCACAGGGTGCCAAAAAGTTCATCACGTGGTACATGAAATCAATCCTGTGCATGCTTATCTCGAGAGACCACTTCGGCGATTTTGATAGTAAAAGTATAGTTACTCATCGAATTTCCTGCATGATATACAATGTTGAATTCAAACGTCTGCTTGTGTATTTTTGAAGGAAATTGGCGTGGGTGGAACATCAGCTTGGAAACTTTGTGGATTTGATTCAGCAACAACGTTAGCTGTGTTCCTCGAAATAGTAAATCAAGTAAGTTACTATATGCTATGTATTATGATAAATGTATTATGATGATGTGTTGTTTTTTGTGTTGTGCTTTGCTATGGCTTTCTGGTTAACTGTTGTGTTGCATTGTGTTATGTTGTGTTGTGTTGTGTTGTCCTTCATTCCTCTTTATTGTATAGCATTCTCTGCACTACTCAGCTCCACTGTATTGAACATATGACAAAGTCTATATATTTATGTGGCCTTAAAGTATATATCCTTACTTTTCATTACTGCAGCATACAGCTCCAGTACCTCAGGGCTCGCGAGGTTGCATACAATTCATAACACAATACCAACACTCTAGTGGTCAGCGAAGAATACGTGTTACGACATGCGCAAGAAATTGGGTTGATGCAGGGAATTTAGCACACGTATCTCTGGGTAGGTGCAAGATCATAGCGCATTAACGCACCATAACGTCGTTATTGCATATTAGTAATTTTACTAACTTAACGTTATTTTATGCGTATTTTGCATGAGAATTCAACGTTACCCATAGACCAAATTTCGTTTTGATATATTTTTCTCTTATATTTTAAGTCTTGTACACATTCTTTAAAAATACTTTTTCAGAGAAAAAAGTGTTCACATTAAAAAAAAAACAACACGTTGTTATCATTAGGTTTAAGGTTATGTCAAACTATTGCTTAGGGTCCGGGTTGGGTTAGGCATTGGGGTAAGGGTTCGTACGCCCCCTGGAAACCCTGGAAGTCCTGCATGGAAACTCCATGAAAAGTCGTGGAATTTCAAAGTAATCCCTGAAAACCCCTAGAAAACTAAACTGACATGTACGATACTTAAGTATTTTAGTAAGATTAATTACAAAACGTTCTTGCACCTAGCGTACCGATCTTTTTAGATAGTTACATTACTTGATAGCGATATTTGTAGTGAAAAACTTGTCGAAGTATTGTTGAAAATAATTTTGTCATACAGTGCTTCAAATATCCCTGGGAAACTTCCGGCAAATATAAGAGAACAAAGTCCTTAAAGATCCTGGATTTTTAGAATTATGAAAGTGTACGATTTCTGGGGTTGGGTTAGGAATGCGGCTAAGAATTCAGATTTACGTTTAGGGTTAAGCTTAGCTTAGGTTGTAGACTCAAACCATCCGATTTAGACTCGAGTCGCAATCTTTGTGACTTGTAATTTAACTTATTTTAACTTATTAATCAGATTAACGACTAGACTTGGACTCGAACAAAAGGACTTGTGGCTTGATTTGTGAGCTTGGATGACTTCCCAGTACAGAATGACTTGCGTCTTGACTTGGTCACAGACAAAATGACTGGTGACTTGATTTAACTTGCTATACTCGGAGTGAATGACTTGACTCAGACTCGGATTAAGTGACTCATGATTTGACTTGGACTTGTCAAAAACTGCTTGTGACTTCACTTGTACTTACAAATTAAAACTCAGTAAAGGGTTTGTTGTAAGGTTTAGGGTTGGGTTTAGAGTTTGAGTTAGAGTTTGGTTTAAGGATTAGGTTAAGGATTAAAAAACAAGCATGGTGTCACTGCGATATAATCTAACTCCGACCTTATGTGTAGGTTTCGACCAGGAGACATCGTGTGTCATGATGAGTCGTATAGCTGTATTCCGAGCAGAGACAGACGAAGGACCCGATGTTCTCAGGTGGCTAGACAGAATGTTAATCAGATTAAGTCAGAAATTTGGAGAATTTAATAAAGAAGATCCGAGTTCGTTCCGTTTAGCAGAAAATTTCTCACTATATCCACAGGTACGTGGAATTTGTTGTATTGCTACACTCTAAACACGCCCCGGTTAAAGTTTTTGAAATCACATTTGTCCACCTATGTGCATAATATTAAAGCAGTGCAGAAGAAAAGAAAAACCAATTAATCTCTAATGTGTCATGCTAAACAACAACGCCCTGGGCAAAATAGGAAACATTGTCGTGGAAACATTTGTGATCGTCGATGTTTCCACAAATGTTTCCCTGTTTGTCCACCTGTAGATGAGATTAATTTCATAAAGTTTGCTCTGAAGTTTTAGGTTAACCTTGGATTAAGTTAACTGGCCTACGAACAGCCCCTGGATGTTTTTACTGCAGTACTGGTCTCAGAACTAGAATTGGATAAAATATTAAAATATTAAATATTAAAATATAAAATATAAAAAATTATAAAATATTAAAGCAGTGCAGAAGAAAAGAAAAACCAATTAATCTCTAATGTGTCATGCTAAACAACAACGCCCTGGGCAAAATAGGAAACATTGTCGTGGAAACATTTGTGATCGTCGATGTTTCCACAAATGTTTCCCTGTTTGTCCACCTGTAGATGAGATTAATTTCATAAAGTTTGCTCTGAAGTTTTAGGTTAACCTTGGATTAAGTTAACTGGCCTACGAACAGCCCCTGGATGTTTTTACTGCAGTACTGGTCTCAGAACTAGAATTGGATAAAATATTAAAATATTAAATATTAAAATATAAAATATAAAAAATTATAAAATATTAAAGCAGTGCAGAAGAAAAGAAAAACCAATTAATCTCTAATGTGTCATGCTAAACAACAACGCCCTGGGCAAAATAGGAAACATTGTCGTGGAAACATTTGTGATCGTCGATGTTTCCACAAATGTTTCCCTGTTTGTCCACCTGTAGATGAGATTAATTTCATAAAGTTTGCTCTGAAGTTTTAGGTTAACCTTGGATTAAGTTAACTGGCCTACGAACAGCCCCTGGATGTTTTTACTGCAGTACTGGTCTCAGAACTAGAATTGGATAAAATATTAAAATATTAAATATTAAAATATAAAATATAAAAAATTATAAAATATTAAAGCAGTGCAGAAGAAAAGAAAAACCAATTAATCTCTAATGTGTCATGCTAAACAACAACGCCCTGGGCAAAATAGGAAACATTGTCGTGGAAACATTTGTGATCGTCGATGTTTCCACAAATGTTTCCCTGTTTGTCCACCTGTAGATGAGATTAATTTCAGAAAGTTTGCTCTGAAGTTTTAGGTTAACCTTGGATTAAGTTAGCCGGCCTACGAACAGCCCCTGGATGTTTTTACTGCAGTACTGGTCTCAGAACTAGAATTGGATAAAGCATCTGCTATGCATACACTGTATGAAGTCAGTGGCGGTCATATTGATATAACCACCATATTTCATACCATGTTTCTATTTTTTCTAGTTTATGTTCCACTTAAGACGTTCACAATTTTTACAATACTTCAATAACAGTCCAGATGAGACTTCATATTACAGGTCAGTTTTGACTACGTCCACACAACACTGGAGTGAAATAATGCGTGGTGTGAACACGGCGGTAAATTGTGACTTTTCTACGCCGTTTTTAAACCACTCTGGCGTAGTGTAAACTTGATCTTAGCCTGAATTCTGAAAGAGAGCATCCTTGATGACACACCTTTAGGGGTGATGACACACCTTTAGAGGTGATGACACAACTTTAGGGGTGATGACACACCATTAGGGGTGTTTTTAAGGGGTGTTTTTAAGGGGTGTCTT